AGCACTGAATAAAGGCAGTCGTAGTGGAAAAAAAGGAGCAAAGGGCAGACTGGAAAAACATTAGAGAAGAAAATGTTTATAGGACTCAGGAGGTGACTTGCTATGTGAGATACATATGGGAAGGCAGAAGGATGACTCCAGATATTTGGTTTGGATGAATGAGTAACAGTAGAGATGGAGAAAAAAATAAGAGATGAGTGAGTGGAGAAAAAAAAGAAGAGGATACTTTGCTTTTCCAGGCATACAACATTCATTAACAAATAGGATGTTTACAATATAGTAAAGAGCAGGGAGAAAACCCCTACCTATGCAGGGAGACAGGCAGCAATGAACTAGCTCCATCAAATATAAGCATAGCACTCTGTCTGGAGAGTTACTTTCTTAGTCAAATGTCTTTGAAGCACAGTCTGTGGGGGAAGGTATATCGTGGTTGCATATGTCTCTGTGCATCTGTATGTGTGTACATTTGTGTTTCCATGTGTGCACATATATGTGTATATGCTTTTACCTGTGAAATTGGCCATCTGTCCTGAGACCCAAAAAGACTACCTAGGTTTCCAAAGAGTTGAAGAGGCAGAGAGTCTTATTATCATGCCTTATTTCATGGGTCTGAGTAGAATAAAAAAATCATTCTACTTTTTGGTAAATTGTTATGAAGTCAATATTATTAAAACTTAGGCGCATTTCAGCTTTCATAGTCCAAAACAAAAAATTATGGATATAAGTATGATGAATCTTGTTAGACTATTTTGAAATTTCTATAAAAGTAATAGGCAAGATCAAATGACAGAAGTTTTTGCCCTGATAAAGCTGACAGTAAAAATGTGTTACTTAAAAGACAGTAATATATACCAGGGAGGAACACAAACAAAAAAAATCACAGGAATTTATTTATAAAAAATTGTGCATTTATTCTCACATGTTTACTTCAGTTACCTTCAAAGTATTCTCCATTTAATCTAATATACCTACTGATATGCTTTTTCTACTGCTCAAAACAGCTTTTGAAAGTCATCAAATTTGATGCTTTTTAGGGCTTCTGCTGTTTTTTGTTTCACCTCTTCTACATCAGCAGAACATTTCCTTTGAGGACTTTTTCACCAGGGAAATAAAAGTTGCTCAGGGCGAGATTCGGTGAATAGGGAGGGTAGGGTATGGAGTTTATGCATTTTTGGTCAAAAACTCCCGAACTCTCAGTGTGGTGTGGGCAGGTGTGCTTGTAAAGTACCCATCACGAAATGGGCAAACATGTTGAAAGAAACAACAACAACAAAAATCACTGAAGCTAAATGCAGCCTCTCACAACAAAGCTAGCTGGTACACTGATGCCAACGGGTTCCTAGAACATTTACCCAGCAGGGTAAGCCTGTATTACAAGGAGCCCACCTTCCAAAAAATAATTCCATTTTTGGGGGGTTCCATCTTGTAAATATGAGAGCTGCTGAGAGTTTACAGGGTAATATTTTAGTCCACAGAATTTGGACAAAATGTTAAGTACAATGAATATCGAAGCAAATATTCAACTTTGCTTTGTTGTATCTAAAATTCTAAGCAAAAGAAATAATTTTTATATGGAAAACAAAATATAATAAAGGTTAAGGCTTGTTAGACATACCAACCTGACTATCACAGAGAATTACTACCTCAAGAAATTTATTCACAATTTATCTACAATTTATTTGCATCTTTTCTCATAGCAATAAATATTTCTCTCTTAGCTTTTTATGTCATTGAAATATATGAATAGGGCAAATATGCCTATGTAACCTAGCAAATAATAGTCCACCAAAACAAATGTAGAGAAATAAAGGATAAGCAAAGAATATTAACTTGCATTCTGGTTTTTTGTTTGTTTGTTTCACTTTTATTTTATACTTGTATAAATTTAAAGGGTAGCCAGACACAGTGGCTCATGCCTGTAATCCCAGCACTTTGGGAGACAACGGCGAGAGAACTACCTGAGCTCAGGGGTTTGAGACCAGCCAGGGTAACTTGGCAAGACGTTGTCTTTACAATGTATCAAAAAAATTAGCTGGGTGTGGTGGCATGTGCCTGTAGATCCGGCTAGTTGGAAGACTGAGGCAGAAGGATCACCTGAGCCCAGGAGATGGAGGCTGCAGTAGCCTGATCATGCCACTGCACTTCAGCCTGGGCAACAGAGTGAGACACTGACCAAAAAAAAAAAAAATTTTAAGGGTACAAGTACAATTTTGTGACATGTATATATTGCTATATTGCACAATGGTGAAGTCTGGGCTTTTAGTGTAACCATCACTTCCTCTGGGTTTCTCTTAGATTCTCACATTTTACTAATTTTCTTGACTTGAATATTAATAATATACAGCTTTCTGAAAGTAAAAGTTTCCGTACCAATTCACTGAATTATAAAGTACATTATCTATCAATGTTTCCTTCTGAGGCTATAATACTAGCAAGTATCTTTCAAGAGAAAATAAACAGAAATTTACTACCTACTGGTCAGTAATGTAAATCTCCAAAAGTAAGATAAACAAAATTAATGCACTACAAATATTCAAGAGAATACATTAAGTCTTCTTAACTTCCAGCTTAAGTATTATACTAAATTTAATTTTTAGGCCAGGTGTGGTAGGTGGTTCAAGTCTGTAACCCCAGCACTTTGGGAGGCCGAGGCGAGAGGACTGCCTGAGCTCAGGGGTTCAAGACCAGATTGGGTGTCTTGGTAAGACCTTGTCTCTACAATAAATCAAAAAAATTAGCCAGGTGTGGTGGCACACGCCTGTGGTTCCAGTCACTTGGAAGGTTGAGACAGGAGGATCACCTGAGCCCAGCAGGTCGAGGCTGCAGTGGCCATGAGCCTGGGCAACAGAGTGAGACTCCAACTAAAAAAAAAAATAATAATAATCTTTCACTGGAAAGATATTAACAGGCATGTGGTATGATGAAAATATAAACCTATTTCATTGTTACAATTCTTACAGTGAACTGTGACATTCAAAAAATTAGACAAAGACACCTTATTTGGATGAAACTGAAAATGTTGGCTGTTTATATCTGGTATTCAACCTCAGGCCAAACAGAATACAGCAAATAAAATGCAAGTTTTCCAACAATGTACCTTCCTAAAGGATTTCCATTCAGAGTCCAAAGACACACTCTCTGGTAGAAAAGAAAACAAAACCCTGAACAAAACCTTATTCAGTAGCTACTGGTACCTAAGGCATATATACCTATGGCATGCCATATTCCTAACAAGTCTGAAATATGCCCTCTTGCTGTTTCAATATTCATAGAAAAATTACTGTATAACTTAATAATGCTTTCATTTCATTTAGTATGATGGTTCACATTTACAGTAATATAGAGCCTATTCAAAAGACTATATGCAAAAAGGTGCATTTATAATAGGCAGTAAATACCATTTCAAAACCTGCTTTCCTAAATTGTTTGTTGGGGGTAGGAGGAAACTCCAAACAAAAAGTGCACTTAAAAAAACTACATTATACAGTAAAGACTCACCCAAGACAACTATTTAAAGTTGACAGTATTTCATTATTTTTCATTTAAATATAATTTTGGAAATATATTTGTAAATTATACAACTTTTTCTTTTTTTTTTTTTTTTTTTGAGTTGGAGTCTCACTCTGTCCCCCAGACTGGAGTGCAGTGGCCGCTCCCAGTCACCGCAGCCTCGACCTGCTGGCTCCGGCGATCCTTCCACCTCAGCCTTCCGAGTAGCCGGAATTACAGGCATGCGCTACCATGCCCGGCTGATTTTTTTGATTTATTGTAGAGACGAGGTCTCGCTGCCCCGGCGGGTCTCGAACCCGCGGGCTCAGGCAATCCACTCACCTCAGCCTCCCAAAGGCGCGGGATTACAGGCTGAGCCACTGAGCCCGGCTTAATTATACAACTTTTAATCTAAAATATGCTGGCTCTTATCTGGGTCTTAATGAAATAACTGAAAAATAATTATTGCTATCATATAGCTTAAAACCTTAAGCAAAAATGCTTGATTAGTAAAGAAGAGGTATATGGATATTCTATTTTAATAATCATTATATAAACATGTAACATTTTAGGTAAATTCTGATGTTTAGAAAATATCCTATAGTTTTTATATTCTATATTCGCTCTCTATATATATCCTATAACTAAATGCCTTTTTTATAGTTTTTAATCAATAAACTTTGAAGAAAGAAGACATTGAAGAAAGATGGCTTGATGACCATACTACATAGTTACTAGTAATTGTCTTTTTTAGGAAGAACAATTTGATTGACCCACAGTTGATCAGAATGTCTTCACTCAAATGTATTCAATATTTCTGTCCAATGAGTCAAAGCACTAGGAGTCTAGCTATTCACTCACACACTTTAAAGAAACACAATTATCTTGAACTACAGGTCACCACAATTTAAGGTTAGAATGTTGATACAAAGAAGACATAATTTCTAAGTTTATTTGGGAGAATAACTAAACAGCCTTACTAGAAATTTCATCCTTTATACTCAGCTAAAATAAATATCAGAAATAAGATTTAGGATATGAAAACTATTTTTTCTTAAGGAACAAAACTTATGAAACATCACAATATGTTTTATATTTTAAAATGAATTAAGTTATAAAATAAAATTGGATTTTATCTTATTCTGTTGATTAAGATAGTCTCTTATGACTCAGGGTGAAATTTTCCTGCCCTTCTCTTGGTGTGCTAAGTTAGCAAAGGGTGAATGTTTTTTGCCTACTAGAGCACTACTTAATATGCTACCATAATATAGAGAACACACAAAACAGCTAAATAGTCCATAGAGGAGATTTATATTATTTAAGAGAGTTGTTCTTTTCCTTAATTTAAGGGCAATACAATCACTACAGCAATATATTCTTCAAGTGCACTACGTTAAAATGTTGGTCCCTCATATACCAATTGTCTTTAAAATTAGGAAACTGTACAACATGAAAAAGCTATCAAAATGGAAGGAAACAATTCTTTTCCTTAAAGAATCTTCTCCCCTTACCTTAGAAGATGATGAATCACATTCCTGACATATCCATCCATAACCTGTTTGCTTAGGAGACTTTTTCAAAGGAGGATCCAAACAGCCAAAATGGTAGCAGAGTCTGCACTCATCACACCTGCAGGGTGAACAGATTTATAGACATATCTAAATAACATAAAAACTATTTATCTCAAAGACAGAAAAACTACTGTACATTTCCGGTTTAACACTGTTAATTCTATTCTTGGCTGACGAGATTTTTACATTAATGATTACGAACAAAGCCACCTATACCTGAAATAAATGTTTTAGGAAACGCAAAATAAAATCACAAAATTGACAAATAAAACAAACATCATTCAGAACGCTTTGATAGCAGGAATATTAAGAGCATATGAATGAATGCAAGTGTTTAATCATATGTGCTCAAAACTAACACAACCACAACAACTCCAACTGTGAACTTACTTAAAAGTATTAGTCATTTGCACATTAGTTTGAAAACATTTAATAATATAAGATACAAATAATTCAAGGTTATAAATTCAACCCAAAACACAGTAATTTTTTTAAAAAAAATTGGAACTCTAAGAATTTCTACTAGGCTTCACTAGATTACAATCAATACTATACAACTGATATCTCATCTCTCTTTTTCTAAGTTAAGGTACATTGCAAATGAACTTCCTAACGTTTATAGTATGCTAACATAATCTATAGAATATAAAAACTAACTTTACATGTTAAATCACAGAACACAAATATACAGAAATATGGAAACCACTCTAAGAAATTAATATTATGCTCTCAAAATTTACCTGTCAATTCTCTCAGAGCATTGGTTTTACAAAGTACTTCCTAGTACATTTTAAAACATAACGAATGTTTTGATAGTGTCTTTGCCACCTATGATGTACAAAATCTAAGAAAACTATCATACCTATTCTTCGTTTCAGACAATCTCATCCTGCTGACAATGAAGAAAAATCTGTATTATTTCAGTGCTTTGTAAAAGGAATTTTGCATCAGTTGGAACAACAAGACCAAAATTTAACAACAAATAACAAAGATGTACACATCTTATAAAAGGAGTTATATTCCTAATTTATTTGTTTTTTTTTTAAAAAAGAAAACCAATAACACTTTCTAAACCAATCTGTCAGATTTTCTTTTTTGTTTATCTCTTGCTGATTTAAAACTTAAAATGTCAAGAAATCTACAACTAAGATACCAAGAGGAAAAATGTATAGAATACTTATTACGAGTAAAGTAAAAATTACTGTTCGATAACCTTTATTAGAAAAAAAGAGCTTAAACAACACACAAAGAAAAACAATTGATTTTAAGAAACCACCACAATAAAGGAGAGTATAAATTTGTATTTTTAGTAAAAATTTTACATCATGCTACAAAAAAACCAATCTCCTAAAAACCCATTTTGGGAATCAAGAGTTTCAGAAAAGTTAAGCGACTTAACTAAGTTATTTAGTTATTTGAAACACAATTATATGCTGTAAGTTTGTTTTTTCCTTTAAACTTTCTCCTTATGAATAAAATCAGTTTATGTACTTTCCCAAAAGTCTTTTAGATTCAAGATATGAACTTGAAAAAACTGTTTACTATGATAATTTTAGCTACAGAAATGGAAAAAAATCAAACAGAACTAACAGTACTTTACTTACTATGCCAATATCAAAAATAAACTATCTGAAAATAGATTTAAAAGTAGTAAAAATATTCAAATTCCTGTTGTTATGGCATTAAGAAAAATTTTAAAAATATAGCTACTTCAAATGTAACATAAGACTAAATGGCAAGCCCACATGATTTTATGCTCTTTCCTTCTCAGTATAACTTATGTACCTTTCAGTAGCCAAAATTTAAATTACATTAAACATATGGGTATGGAAACCCTCAAAGTATAAGCATTTCTGAGTTTATGAGATGGTTAAGACTTCTAGATAGTTGAGAATATACTCCTTCAAACACAGCAACTAGTATTTCAATCATCGTTGTTGAGAAATTTAAAAATAATCACATTATTTGCTTCATCAAGGAAATATATTAAATATAATCGACTCTATCTCTGTCTTCTCAGGGTCATGAGTGTGAAAAACATGCTGCTAATGTGTGTCTAGCAGTGTGTCAGTCTTTTCTGCTCGGAGTGAGGCGCATCAGCCTGTTGTTCTACTTGAATTCTTGTATTTAGCGTGTAAAGGTTGCCTGGGTCCTCACTTGCTTAAAATTATCAGCCACTGCTTCCTAATACTGTCAGAGTATTTGTCTAAGCATAATGTCTCCAACAATAATTTCTCATGGATTCTGAAAACAGACCACAAAGACTTATTAAGGCTATGCAAATTGATAGCAAAAAAACAAAAACAAAAACATGAAAATGAGAACTACTGAGTTGAGGATATGAGTTCCATTTCACCTGTAAACTATATATAGTGTTTTTTACTTAACTTCAGGCTTTGGAGTAATGTTCTATAGAGGTAAAAATGCCAATAATCGGAGTTCTGAGTTACAGTATTTTTTCCTAGTTCACATTGTTATAACTTAATTATTGAATATTTACTTTATAGCCTGTGCCATAAAAATTTGTAAATTATTTCTAATGTTTAATTTGAGGCAAACATCATGATGAAAATAAAAATGAGCAATCATTTATTATCTATCTCTTCCATGTACACAGATGATTCTTGTTGGTATAGCTATTTCCCGCTAATAAATTATGAACAACTTTACTACACTTATACAGTTCCAATCAGTTGCTGATTCCAATTACTTGTAAAATCAAATGATCTTTCAGCTGAAGAACTAATAAAAAGGAGAAAAGGAAGGTTTTATAATACTAGCTCTTTCAGAAGATAATTCAAAATACATGCCATTTGGAAATAACCTAACCCTTACTGATTGATTCCTTTCTTAGTGATACCTTTCAGAAAAGCATAGTCATCAATTAGAACTCTAATATATTTGTGATGGGTTCCAAAGGAAAAGCAGAATTTGTTTGTCAGAATTAGAAATGATAGGGATGCTCTCTAAAGTCCTACATACTGGTGAGAGAGTTTTTATATACTCTCTCACCAGTATATAAAAGCTGCAACTCTAAGACTAAGTAGCAAAAAGGAGCAGTTAAGGTCCTTAGGAACTGCCAAAATCTAAGGGGGGTGGGGAAAGAATTAGTCCAATCTTGAAGTCAATAGCTTTGTTAATAAATAAAAAAATAAATATAAGCTCTTTGCAAAGATACCTAAAATTATTCCCATGTGGAAAAATCTGGTTATGGCGATCCTAGAATACTGAATTGAAAAAATTTATCGTTGTATATGCTAGTATTGAAAATATCCTGAATGACACAAATGAACACTAGCAGAATTGCAAGAATTAACAGACCACAGACAAATGTAAGAGATACCACTAAGAATCCTAGAAATCAAAGAACAATAAAGATGGGCAAAACAGTGGCTTATTTACTTTACACACTTTACACACACACACACACACACACACACACACACACACACACACACACACCACTTTGTAATCTTTATCAGATCTTATCAGCAAACAAACTCTGGCTATGTTGTAAATTTAGGTCACCTAAAAAACTCAGAAATCAGAAACCCATACAAGTGTCTGTAACATCTGCTATCTAAAAGGAGTAGTAGAGTTAAAGTAGTTATTGATCAGTTTTATTTACTGTCGCTACATCTATTTCTTACATATACTTGAAAACACATGATTGCATCGCATAATATACTACATATTTAATTTCTCAAAATAGTGAATAAAATGCTTTAACAAATTTTGCAAAGGCAGTCATTGATCCACGAAAGTATAGTGATATGACAATATACTTTATTAAATAACACAAATGTCTATGTAATAAAAACAGACTATCATAATATTACCAACAGCACATTATTAAATAGGAAGGCAATGTCTTAAAATATTAAAAGAGAATATAAAACTAACCTATCAAGAAACACTAAGTATTTAAAATAAAATATAAAGTGAATGCTTAAAGGTATCCCTTTAAACACTGTATACATTAACACTACAGGGCATTCTAAAAATCACAATTTTAAATGAGATAAAATGAATCCCAGTTATAAAAGGAAACCTGATTGTTTAGATCTTTACTAAATAACGACTTCCTAAACATCAGATTCATAACAGTTACAAATGTAAATAACAAAGCAGCTTTTTATATATGGTCTTTTTACATAGATTTAACAGAATACAGTGACCAAATAACAGTTCTATATATTTTTAAAATACTTACTTAGCATATGATTAAGTATAGCACCCCAAAGAAGAGGAAGAAAATAATTTATCTTGATATGTGCTATGATCCATACAACAAGCAATTAGTGTTTACTTGACTACCGAGAGTATGCAAACTAGGAAAAAGCAGCAGCTGATTTATTTCCTCTTGTGTCTAAAAGACAGGTTGCAAGTCAGTGTTCCAGAGGGCTTATTTAACTCCTTTAATTTACAATTGATAATTTCATTGGAGGAGTAAATGAAATAACTACTCTAAAAAAAACCAACTAAATGAAACAATTAAGTATACCCCCTACACAAATAATTTATAGCCAGATTATAATCTAAACTTCAGGAAGAAGCAAAATCCCTAACATGTGTTTAAAAATGGATGTATATTTTTATGATCAAGTTGATCCCGATAATCATATTTTTATGCCAATGCAACATTTTACTTATACCCTCCAAGTGTACCTAAAGCAAAATTTAAAAACTGACTGTGAAAATACATACTATTATAACTGTTCACTAAAAAAAATAATAATCCCCCCCTCAAAAAAAATACCTAAATATCAATAGAATTGATAGATTGGATTTTCTGATTTTTTTCAGAATTTCTATGTAAAAATCCCACACAAGAAAGATCCAAAAATTAGTCTTGAATATTAGCATTAAATAAAATTTTCATTAGCAACTCAAACATCTATACAAATCTATTAACCTGTCATGACAGATTATTTCATTGAACAGTGGCCAATTATTTCAAATAAACATCTTATCAGATAAATACAGATTGTGGTCAATGAGTTAAATCACTTTTAAAATAATACAAGCTTGCACAAAATTCTGCATTCTATCAATATT